ATAACAGCTTCCCTGAAGTTAGTCTTTGTTGTCCAACCTGCATCTAATGTGTTCCATTGATTCCAAGCACATCCAGGTTGTATCTTTCTTCAGAAACTTGGATGACTCCCGGTCCATCATACTGTATGAAAATGTTATGTATCTAAATTAATTGTTTCTTTGGTTGTCAGAAGGAACATCGGCGTCGTCACTTCTGAAGAAACTCAGCTTTCATCATGTGACGTCATAACTCTTTTAAATAAAGACCTAACTCCCAGGGCAGAGTTTAAATGGTTTGAATTATTTTTTTTTCTGGTTAGCGATTTTATAGTGAGTTCGTTTTCTAAGGGATGAGGTCGCTAACCCCATGCCTTAACTTACTCTTTTATCCGGGCTTATGACCGACAGTAGCCCCAGAGAAGCTCCAGGCGGAGTTAAACATATGCCTAAAGAGTAAGTTATTGTAATATTGTGTATTATATAAATATTTCTAAATCAGTTAATTCATTTGGTTTAATGATATTCCTTAAATAATCTACTTAGTCCTAAAGATATTTGACAGTATGGATTAACTTGTGGTATTAAATCATTGAATATCATGACAACATTAAAGAATTATAGTGATACATCAGGAATCGATCTGATGGATTGTAAACCAGAACATTCTGTTATCCGTAACAATATCAGTCATTAGAAAATTTCTTTTCATTTACAATATTCTGCCTAATTTTGCTACAGGCAGTTTAAATACATGCAAATACTGTTTCGTTTGTTTTGTGTGTGTGTGTGTGTGCATTAAGAATATTGTGCTAATAAACACACGGGAATGAAAAATAAAAATGTAAAACATTTCTATTAATTTGTCCCAGTCTCTACATTTAAATTAAATGGAAACAGATATGATTTTAGGCTGATGGATAGCAAAGAGTATAACACCACACTTATTGTTCCTCTCATTTGTAAGGTTGAATAAAGTGAGAACAACAGGAATTAAAGTAGAATATAATATGAATTTATAATATTTCATGGATTAACTTTAGTTAGATACAGTAGGATTTGATTAGACTGAATTGTTGTTTAATCAAAATGAATGATTCTAAATACTTAGACAATGGTAAAATAGTCGTATATATAATCATGAGAAGTATGCTTTACAAATAATTCGTAAACAATGAGATAAGATACATATTTTGATGGAGTTTTGTTCTCTGAGGTGGATGGTTTGGTCGTGGAGCTTTCATCATCAGAGCAAACTTCAGAAGCATATATATTTATAGAGAAGATGAACAGAATAGATAACACATGTTAACATTTTAGTGGATATGCACTGATTTTAAGAAGTGAAATTGTAAGCATTATGGTCACACGTTAGAAGCAAAGATCATTTGAAGTACTTACTTACTTACTTACTTACGCCTGTTACTCCCAATGGAGCATAGGCCGCCGACCAGCATTCTCCAACTCACTCTGTCCTGGGCCTTCTTTTCTAGTTCCATCCAATTCTTGTTCATTTTTCTCATGTCTATTTCCATTTCTCGGCGTAATGTGTTCTTTGGTCATCGATGAACAAGGAGGTTCAGATGCAGATGTAAAGGCAAGGATTGGTAAAGCAAGGACAGCATTCCTATAGTTGAAGAACATATGGAACTCAAAACAACTTTCAAGCAATATCAAAGTCAGAATCTTCAATACGAATGTCAAGACAGTTCTACTGTTCGGAGCTGAAACTTGGAGAACTACAACAACCATCATTAATAAGGTGCAAGTATTTATAAATAGCTTTCTACACAAGAAACTCAAAATCCACTGGACGGATACCATCAGGAACAGCCTTTTGTGGGAGAAAACAAACCAGATTCCAGCTGAACAGGAAATTAGGAAAAAACGATGGAAATGGATAGAACATACATTGAGGAAATCGTCAAACTGCATCACGACACAAGCCCTAATTTGGAATCCTGAAGGAAGGCGGAAAAGAGGAAGGCCAAAGAACAGATTACGTTGGGAAATAGAAGCAGATATGAAGAGGATGAATAACAACTGGAAGGAGCTGGAAAGGATTGTACAAGACAGAGTTGGATGTGGATTGCTGGTTGTTAGCCTGTGTTCCTCCACGAGGGTAAGAGGCGTAAGTAAGTGAGTAAGTTGCGTAACACTTGTACAGTAAGAATGCCTATATATAATAACAGTCTAGAATTAGTTTCCGAAATTTGCCCACAATTTAGTCTTTGCTAGGATACAACGTATTTTATAGTCATCTCTTATACATAAGTTATCGATTAAATGTTTTATGAACGTACTGTTGCTACGCTTAGCTCAGTGATAACATTTAAAGCAGTGATACTGAGTGGCGAAGGTTCTATTCTCTCATTTATCATCAATTCTCTCATGATTAAGGCTGCATCTTATTGATCAGCGTCAATTATCACGAAACACGGTTTCTTCCACCTAAACATTGTAGAACCTTTCAGTTGCAATTTCTTCTAGTCATCATCAGAAATTGCATTATGTTTATGGTCATGTAACAATTAAATAAGGACCCATTTTGCCTAATTTTGGATTCATTATTACTACTGTCTAATATTGACTTTAATTCTGTCTACTGGATTTTCGTGATTAGCATACACACACATATATACAACACTGCCTGGAGCCCCCTTGGGGCTATCGGTGGTCTCAAGCCCGGATAAAGGAGGAGGGTTGGGCATGGGGTTAGTGACCTCCTCCCGTAGAAAACTAACTCGCCATAAGATGCTAACCAGTGTATATATATATATATATATATCATTTGCACTGACTCCAAAAAATATGTCCTGATGATGTTGTCTGGAAAGACAATGAAAGTTTCCTGACTAAACCATCCAGCTTAATGTGCAATTCACCTGGTATATTTTCTGGATAAATTTTTCTAATATATTTGTTTAAATAAAGAAATTTTGAAAGAACTTTAACTTAAATAATTTCTTTAGAGCATGTTATACTGTTTCATATCCCCCTAGATTGCTTTTCATTGAATTACATTACAAAGTAATTAACACGTTTCCTTTGTAATATCTTCAAAGAAAATGATAACAACGTTTCCATGAATGTTCTAAACACACTATCATTATTTCATAGTAGTATAAGCCTTCTAATAGATAATAGTGTATAAATGGTTGTTATATATAGAGGTGCATACATTTATGAAGAATGAATATGATGTTTATGTTATTCATTTGTCTTATAAAATACGAGATTTTTTCTTTATAATTCAGGTTTCATCAAATCTTTTGGCTAATTCATTCAATTCACTGGTCTAAAATTGACACTAGTCAATGAATCTAAATGTTTTTGATTTCTGTTTTGTTATATATTTGTGGGTATACAATACAGAGAAGTTCCGTACTAGTAACAAGTAATCGTTTATCCCCACCTAATCTTCCATGGTTACCATCAATTCTAAAACGCTTCATCTATATGACATTATTAATATAGTGAATGTATAGATATATAGGTAAACTGATAAGCAATTGCTCAAGTGGTCACATGAATAACAAACATTGAAACAGAATTTGCAACCATTCCAATGGGAATGTATCATTACTATCAAAAGTACCTCTACAAAGTACTTCAATTCATACTATAATCGGGTTTCAATAAAATACTTTAATAGTATAAGGGTTGTGGAGCTTATTAAGTTTTTGATTGAGATCATGAACTAATTGATGTTAGACCACGTTTGGAAACCTGGAAGCACTGGACGGCCGTTTCGTTCTATTGTGGGACTCCTCATTGGATGCCGGCCCAGTGGTCCAGTAGGTTAAGCGTTCGAGCGCGAGACTGAAGGCCCTGGGTTTAAATCCCGCAAGCGGGATCGTCGATGCGCACTACTGCGGAGTCCCACAATAGAACGAAATGGCCGTCCAGTTCTTCCAGGTTTCCAATGGTGGTCTAACATCAATTAGTTCATGATCTCAATCAAAAACTTAAGTTATATGTTACAATTCAAACAGTCGTATACCGTGTAGAATCTAGTGAACCTAGTGAAGTGAAACGATCAAGACAAGTTTATAAGCAGTTGAAGTAGTTTTAATACTAATGAAAGTACAAGATAATCCACACAAACGATATGATTTAGGAAGAAAGAATTAATCTATGGGATAAAGAAGTATACAATAATTTTAAGACACAAAATCTAAGGGAAGGAATAGTGGATACATATATTTAATTGAAACAAATTCTAAACTATTTCATACATCATTTTCAGCTGTTAGTTACGATAATCACATTGATAACCTTAGTCATTGAATCGATATCTACCAGCATGACTAAAATCAAAAGACAATGAATTCGTCATATAACTGAAATGTTACATTTAAATTATACAAATGAACAATATGAATTATCAGTATGGGATTGTGGAGATTACTATGTTCTTTTTTTAATATTAAGATCATGAATCCACCAATGTTACACTACCATTGAAAACCTGAAAGCACTGTTTAACTGTCTCATCCTAATATGAAACCCCTCAGCAGTGCACTTCATCTAATCACATTTACTCACAATTGATTGATCACTGGGTGGTGATCAATCTCATGCTTGTCTAGTCCTTATTAGTGCAGATCGAATGCTATCGATCATGTTGCAATGTGGCCACTAGTCTAGGTGACTCGACAGTGCGGGCACTATGTATTGAGATTAGATGGTGGTTGGAGGTAGTCAACAGGAAACCCTGGACCCGGGTTTGATTGATCACCACCCAGTGATCAATCAATTGTGATTACATCTCAGTCCTACAGGAGGTTAGTCACAGCTCGGATAGCTCAGTGGTAACGTCTCTGACTGTGAAGCTGGGTGACACGAGATCGAATCCGCCAGGGAGCACCAGTTCCCTCAAGATTACAGGTATACCTTGCCAAGTAGCACGAAACCCGGGTCCAGGGTTTCCTGTTGACTACCTCCAACCACCATCTAATCACATTTACTAATTTTTACAAAAACAAATCGAGAAAAAAAGTCGTTTTTTCATTGATTTTCTGATGTTATCCAAAAATTGTAACTATTTGATTTCATCCTTAAAAAATAATAATATTGGTAACAATAATAGCAGTAATAATAGTAGTGATAATAGTAGTAGTAGTAGTAGTAGTAATAATGATGACAATAGAAATAATAATAATAATAATAATAGTAATGATTATAGTAGTAATAATAATGGTAGTAATAATAGTAATAATAATGATAATAATAGTAATAGTAATAATGATAATAGTAGTAACAATAATAATAGTAATAGTAATAGTAGTAGTAATAGTAGTAATGGTAATGATAATAATATTATGTTTATATATAAAACAAAATCTTTACCAGATTCATAATCCTTTTTATTAATGAATACACTTTTATTGTAAATATTAAATCGATTAAAACGAAAACTGAAGTAAATATCAAATGGGAAAAACGAGAACATAATGGAAAAAGAGGAAAAAGAAAAAAAAAGAAAGAAAATCACGAATGATATAAACAATTAATTAAAATGTAAATAATTAGTTTCATACATTCTTTTTTCTCTTTATGTTATGTGGTATTGTTTGGTGCATTCGTTGTTGTTGGTGGTGGTAGTGGGGGTGGGGGTGGTATTGTATCCGTGTGTTTAATCATTGACGACATATTTACAAAATAAATTTTAAAAAATACACAACTTCATATTGGTTTATCCTATAATTGACAATTAATTCTTATTAATTATGATAATAACATAATTTTGATTAAAATCTGACAAGTTAAATTTTGAAAAGAGAAAGATTATTGTTATTTTGTCTTCTTTTGAGATTTCTAGAAGCATTCATAAATCAGTTAAAACTAGAATATTATGAAAAAATTGGAAGCACTGTATGGTCATTTCATCCGGGTGTGAGACTACTCAGAATTATGCATCTACAATCCTGCTTGCCGGATTCGAATCCAGGAGCTTCGGTGTCACGAGCGAGCGTTTAACTTTTAGACCACGGGTCCGACATTTAACAGTGTTAATATCTAACCACAACCGATCCACCAAATTACGCCATTGTCCATTATTACGTTGAGTGAGTTACTGTTTCACAACAGATCCGCTTGAATATCACCGGTCATCGCTTCTCACTAGAACTCCAGGATATACCTCTTGAAGCCAGTCACTAATGAACACATGATGATTTATGGAGATCTCAGTGAGCTTTCAAACATTTATATCATCTGAAGTTAGTTAATTAAGAATAAACTTGATAACTAAGTTAAAGGTTGGCAAAAAATAAATATTTATGCAAACAAACGGGATAGCTATATCATCGTACTTCTATGGATCAATACTATAGTACATATCACCAGGACGTCAAACCTTGGCCAACCAACCGCGATGATGATCAGTTCGGCCTGGTCCTAAGCGTGAAAACGGGATAGCTGACTGAGTATAATCATATTTAAGCCATTTAAGATGGACAGTTTATACTCTGTGGAATCCAGTCCGCACAGGATGCATATATGATAACAAGAGACTGATCAATTACAGTCATATATAACAATGAAAATACTCAAGTAAACATCAAGTGCAATTAAAATGAAGCTATTTGCATTAAAATGATTGTCAAGATTTTGTCACGTGATTTCGCTTTTAGTATCTTTTATTATTATTATAAGGTTTATTCAATATTATATTTTTGGTACAATATAGAATTCTCAGCACAACGTATTTCAACAAGTTGCTGTTTCTTCTTCTTGGTCGATCCTGACGATAAATATTGAGTGATCGCCAGTTAGATGTTAGCAGTTCAGTAAATGAATATCTGAATAATGTATATTATTTTGCTGCATATTTCCAGCGACCACATTATCTCTCATGAGGCTTTTTGTAACTTTGACAACGAAAAGTTGTACACATTTCAGAAATGCACCAGGATAGGTTATACGATTAATAGAGAGAATGATATATCAAAACAAACAAAATTAGATAACTTGTTGAAACATCTAGATGGCAGGAACGGGTAGCCCAGATACTCAAGCAGGCCGCCTATGTATGTATAGATGACGTATATCAATAGGGTATAAATCTTAGTTGAATAACATCGTTCCAACTGTCTCTTACCATTTTAGATTAATATACAGCGATTTGCAATGAATAGTCACATTTACACTTTAACCTATATAGGCAAACTTATGTTAAAAAATTTTGGTTAACTCTAAAAATTAGACAATAATAACATCTACCATTGTCCATAGATGAATTCATATGCTCTATCACCTGTTTACACTTTGTAATATACTTTTCTTAGGGTAGTTATATCACTGAATAAAAATATCACTTAAGAATGAACGTTTTACCTGTTTCGTTTGATTATATTAAGTATAACTATACATTATTCCATTCACTGTTCATTATTACATATGCCTTAATTCATAAATCATTCCAATGAAATACAGCTATATGATTTTTTAATCGGTTCTTCTTTTCGACATCATTTTTTCGCTCTCTCGCTCTCTCTTTCCCTCATTCTCTTTCTCTGAAAAGAATGCTTGTTTGCACCTTTGTGATTTACATATCTATTTTTTTATTATGTACAAAATACAATACACATTTTTCTTTACACTATTCTTACATTCAAATTATTTCTGCCCATTACATTTCACCCTCTTTGGATTTTATTGTTGTTGTTGTTGTCATCGTCGTCGTTGTTGTTGTTGAAACTAGTTACTATAAGGTTGATACAAATTGTAAATGTAATAACATTTTTATACAAGGACATCCCTTTGCATTAAATCAGCCATATATATTCGTACTATATATATATATATATAAGAAAGATACCAAAAATAGAATGGTCATAGAAATTTTATTATTGTCATTTGTTTCATTTACTTTTCTCTTCTTGATTTGTTACTTCTATACTGAGACTTAACTAAAGAATTTATGACGTATTTGAATGGTATTTTAAAGTCCATTTAAAAATATAAAATTTTAGTGAAATATTTTGTTTGTTTTTCTTTTTTCGTTTTTTTTTTAATAATAAAAACAAATGGCGAAAACGAGAGTATGGATTAATTATTTTTTATGTAACGTTGGTGATTAATTTAAATAGATATATGCCCACCCTCCCAAAAAGACTAATCGATTATAATCCCTAAAATTCCTACTTGTTACACAAACTAGTTGCTATTTGGATTCAGTAGCTTAGTAGATATAGTGTTAATGTTTGGATAGTATTGTACTATATTCGAGTCTTCAAAAATTAGTATTTTTATTTTACTTTATTTTATTATTATTATCAGCTTTATTCAATATTACTATTTTTGGTACGATATAGAATTCTCAGCGTAAAGTATTTCAACAAGTTTCCGTTTCTTTCTTCTTGGTCGGTTCTGGCGATAAATATTGAGTGATCGCCAGTTAGATGTTGGCAGTTCAGTAAATGAATATCTGAATAATGTACATTCTTTTCGCTGTATATTGCCAGCAACCATATGGTCTCTTATTGAGTTTTTTGTAACTTTGACAACGAAAGGTTGTACACTTTTCAGAAACGCAGCAGATTAGGTCATGCGATTAATAAACATAATTATATATTAAAACAAACAAAAATACATAACTTGTTGAAATATCTAGATGGCAGGAACAGGTAGCCCAGATGCTCAAGCAGGCTGCCCTATTTAGGTATATATGGTCGATGAGTTCCAAATGGAACAAAATGTACGTTGAATATTTCATTGCTAACTAGTATCTAAATTTCATAGTTTACATTGTAAACTAATATCATTTGACGCATTTTAAAAGCTGGATAATTATTGCATGCTATCTTGAACTTCTGCATCCTTAAAACCCTAACAGGAATTGAATTCAAGACCTTCATATACTACTGGACTATACTTCTGCTTTTGATTTTATACTAAGACAACTTTTACTTAATAAGTTTATCAGAGTCTACACTGACAACTGGATAACCGATTGGCTGTGTTCCTACGTCACTGTAAGAGAACAGTACACTGTGTTTGGAGGAAAGGAGTTGTTCTTTCATAGAAAACACCTTTGTGAAATATGCGGATAGTCTTACTATATGTATGCTGATTTCTACCTCTTTGCATCCCATAGAAATGAGTGAGTTTTAGTCTCGTATTGACTGGTGATCTGTTGTTAATGGTCTCATACTTAATCCGTCTAAATTGCAAGCTGTTAACTTTAACATGAGACATGAACAGCATCCAAACACCATTTTCGGGATCCTATAATGCTTGTGCCACTGGATGAACACGATGTAGAAGGTCAATTATCTTGGTGTTACCTTTTCCTCTGATCTCTCTTGGTTTTCCCATGTTTTACTGTTATCGAAAAAAGTTTTCCGTTTGACTTACTATATAAAGAGGCTTCATGCTTTTGGGATTACTCGTCATTTACTCTTACAATTTGTCATTTTCTGCATATTACCTATTATTAATTACTGTTCTCCATTATTCTTTCCAGGACTTTTGAGAAAAAACATTGCTGTATTGCGGAGAAAGCTAAAGGCAGTTAGCAGGGTGTGTGGTGAATATTTCGAGGTCATTATTAATATGATTGTGGATAGACATCTAAAATCTTGCAAACTCCTGGCAGGTGTTTTCTTATCAGATACTAGCCATCCCTTTCACTCATATCTTTCTCCTTGTATATCTTCTGGTAGAACGAGACGTAATTACATTAAAACCCATGCACTCAAGCAAAAGTATAAAAGTTCTATAATACCTTACCTAGCAAATAAACTCTGTGACGTACAGGTGGTTCAAGTTGACCTATTCAATAACCTGTATTTGTAAACACGTCTCTAATTGAAAAGCTGTATAGTTTCAGATCTTTATTTTCATCCTTTTACTTTCTTTTTTCTTGTTTGTTTTTGTAAAAGAAACTTGTTGAAACACCTCGCGCTGAGAATTTCTATATTGTACCAAAATATAATATTGAATAAAGCCATTAATAATAATAATACTCCGAGTATGATCCATATAGAGCACTGAGATGAAATAAAACAATCTTGTTTCTCCTCTTATTGTTAAAATGGTGTGTTTTACAAATAACCCTTGATTCTTATCAATACAGCATCTCCTACTTCACTCTTATCATCATGCATTTTTATCATCTGACATAAAATATCTCTTTCAACAGCTGTTTATTTATGTTAACTTCACGTCACAACTGCATAGATACCAACTTATCTATAATTTATTATATATATATATATATATATATATATATATATATATTCTTCACTGAATAATTGTCATACAACATCATAATTCATTCACTTGATGTTGTTTTACTTGTATCTTCTCATTGTTATTTAGGACTGCAATTGATCAATCTCATGTTGGCATATAT